TAAAGCCACCGAGTACATACCAACTGATTAATGATGACACTGCTAATCCGAGCAGTGCCCCAACACCACAGACTAAACGATCTTTTAGCGGTAAAACTTTAAAATTGGGTTTTAAGGTATTTAACCATTCAAGTTGCGTATGAAACACGACAGTCCTGCGCTTTAACACGGTTTAAAGTGTGAATTATACGATGTTGTGGTTATAAGATATATTTATTATCTATCTTAAATGGATAAATTTTTCGCCGATATTTCTCATCTACTGATTTTTCACTGGGCATATTCAGTCAATTGATCAAGTCTTTTCCCATATTCTTGCATTGGGCAAAACGCATACATGGGTGAACCAATATAACTTCCAGCATTTTGGCACTCCTGATCAACATAAGCTTTCCATAAGCGTTGTGATTTCATGATGTCATTATAACGTTCTTGCCGAAGGTCTATCTGACTCTGTTTTTTGATCTGATCAAGAACTTTGACAATTTCTTTTTCATAATATGCCCTGCTCTGGTTACTACATGATTCAACCACAGCATTGTTAATGTTACCTAAAGCCAGTTTTTCGATGGTTTGTTCAACACATTGGTTATATACATCAGGTGAAGCAGCACTCTGTTCTGCATAAGCTGATATTGAACAAATAGTTGTAGATAAAACCATCATGATTGTGCATGCTCTTATCATATTTATTCCTTTGTTGTTTTGATCATGGCTCAATATAGCAATAAATCGATTTTAAAGGCTTTGTTTTTAGCACCCAGTCTGAGCTTAATCCTATTGATCGCATTTTTTCTTTTTATGAATCATCAATATGATATACAGTCTTTACTCACAATATTTGGTATCAGCTTAATCGTTTATCTGATTTATTGCATTCTTGTCATTCCAATTGCGTATGTCATTTCACTTTGGCTTGCACATCAGTATTGGCTTAATTTTTTCAGTATTTTCGTCGGCTCACTGTTGATGTGGTTAATTGTCAGCATCATTGGCTATCTGGTTTTTACTGGATCATTGCCTACACCGCTATGGAAACTATTGAGCGAATGGTTTTTTTATGCAATTTCTGTATTTGCAGGGTGCTGTTATTGGGGTTTATTAAAAGTATTCTCCAGACCATCATTCACGACTCACGATAATGTAGATAGAACTGATTACTAAAGATCTCCTCTGGATCATATTTTTTCTTCAAACTAAAAAAAGCATCCGTTTGCGGATAGGCTAAACGCATCTTGTCGCGACTTACATGTAAGCGATAAGGCAAATAAAATGTGCCTTGGTTTTTAAGTGTAATATCAACCAATTGCTGAGTCAGTTGTTGCATATCCTGCTCTTGTTGTGGGGTCTTCTTTTGATTAAACAGAAACACCAAGCCAAAAACGTCCTCTCGGGCATAATTCATAAATGCATCATGATCATGTTCAACTTCACGAATCGTGATATTGAGTAGATCCACTTTTTTAGTTTTTAAAACGGGCTTGAGATCTTGAATAAACTGAGCCAAGTGCTGCTTTGGAATAAAATATTCATGCAATAGATCGGTTGAATGGATATCTTTATTTTCAATCAAGGCGGCATCTTCACTGAGAATTTCATTGCGACTAAATATCGCATAAGGCGATACTGAATTCAGACTACTTTCTAGATCCCAGCGTAGCCGTTTGCCGTATTCACTATCGACAGAGCCACGGAACACAATCCGCTTAGTTTCAGCGTTTTTACTTTGCTGTTGTGACAAGGCTAAAGGTTTTTTATCGATTTTTTCAAAATAGTTTAAGGTTGCCTGCTGTAAAAAATGCTTGTCTGAAATACGTAAACGACCATAAGCAAATTGTACATCTGGATTATTGCTGACAATCTTTTGGTACGCGTTTACATAGTCTTCAGGTAAAACTGAAATTGATTGAAATGTTAAAGCAACATTATCTACAACTTCTAATTTTACATCGAGAATAATGCCAAATAATCCATAGCCACCAATCACCAATTTAAACAGTTCAGGATGTTCTGTACGACTACATTTTACAATTTCTCCCTGGGCATTCATCAAGGTAAATGACTCAACACTGGATGAAATAGGGGGTGAATTCTTTTGCCAACCATGTCCATTGACACTGATCGAGCCGCCAATTGAGAAATTACTAAACGCTTGCATCACTGCAATTGATTTACCATAGCGGTCTAGATACCGAAGTGCCTCTTCCCACGTTGCACCTGAACCAATCGTGAGAATATTACTCTTCTCATCAAAGCTCATGTGGTTATAAGGCAACATATTCAGTGCAATACCATCAGGGTAAATGGTGTGCCCGCCCATACTGTGCTTAGCTCCTGCAATCGAGACTTTTAGATGATGTTCAGCTGCATATTTAAGTAAAGTTTTAAGTTGTTGTTGAATCGCTTCGGGTGTACTTTCTACATCGACAATTTTATGCACTTTTGTCAAATTAAGATGACTGGCATCATCCCGATAACCTGTAGGAATATGCTCAATTCCCTGTTGCTCATTGATTTTTGTTTTAAAAAGATGAATTGCAGGAATAGAAATAACTGCCAATACAATAAGGAGAAGGCTTAGCCAAAGTTTGTTTTTCTGTATTTTTTGCATAAGGGATGATTTAAAAATGTTTTAAATTTATTCAATAATTTATAAGCTATAAATATTAAAAAAGCAAAATACCGATAAAGTTTGTCAGCGATCAGAATCATCATTTATAATGACTTCCAGCATAAAAACAATATCTTAAAATAAGGAGAATATATGGCTTATATTATGGTGGACATCGAAGCAGATGGTCCAATTCCCGGTGATTACTCAATGATTGCGCTAGGTGCAGTGTTGGTCGAAGATCACTTACATCAACAATTCTACGGTTTACTTAAACCAATTTCCGAGAATTATATTCCTCAAGCGCTCGCAGTTTCAGGCTTTAGTCGTGAAGAAACCCTAAGCTTTAACAATCCTGAGCATGTTATGAAAGACTTTGCCAAGTGGGTGAGTAAAGTCAGTAAAGATCGCCCTATCTTTATTAGTGATAATAATGGTTTTGACTGGATGTTTGTCTGTTGGTATTTTCATCATTTTACTGGCAGTAATCCGTTTGGATTTAGTTCACAAAATTTAGGCAGTTTGTATAAAGGACTGGTCAAAGATAGCTTTCAAAGTTTTAAGCATTTACGTAAAACAGCACATACCCATAACCCTGTTGATGATGCCAAAGGCAATGCAGAAGCTTTATTGGCAATGAAAAAGGATTATGGATTGAAGATTAAGTTTTGATTGGTCTTTTCTAATTTTGCTACAGCCCAATAATGATCTTGTGCATTTTATCATCCTCTAAATTCGCCCCTATGATTTCTAAATAATTCATTTACTTAACATTGAATGAAGCGTTGTGACATCGTCATAATGGACTTCCGACATTCAGCTTTTGAAGCGCCCTCTACCTTTAAAAAGTTTATAAATATAAATTTTCCATGTTAATATCAAATATATAATTTAACTTATTTAATTTTTACGAATGAACAAAATAATCCATTTCATCATTTTAACTTCTTCTTTTTTCCTTGCTGCATGTAGTACATCAAATGAACCTGTAATTTTAGAAGCAAAGCAAATTGCAATGACGGTCGAACCATCAAGCACACTTGAACTTACGCTGATTAAAAAAGATAAAATCTGTATCTTAAAAGCAAAAACCACTTCTAAAAATACACCAACAATAGAAAAAGATTGGGCTTTTTTTAGGGATGATCTCATTTTAATATCTGAAAATTCAAGCTCGGAACCCGTAATCAATAGTGATGCTCCAGATGCAAAAATTGAAGAGCACATTGAGGAAATGAAAATAAGAAAAGAGGCCAAAGAAATAAAAAGCTTTATCTCAAAAGAAAATCTGAAAAAATGTACATAAGTTGATCTGCGATAAGAATCAATATTTATAGACTAACCTTTGCCACACCTCCCCAAAATCCTTATACTTAGAACCAATTTTTTCTAATACTTATAGTGGATGCTGCATGAGTCGCGCCATATCGCATATTGATACATTCCAAGGCTTAATTCTTGCCTTACAAAACTACTGGGCTGAACAAGGTTGTGTGGTGTTACAGCCTTACGATATGGAAATGGGCGCAGGGACATTCCACACTGCAACATTCTTACGTGCGCTTGGGCCAGAAACATGGAACGCAGCATACGTTCAACCCTCACGTCGCCCTAAAGACGGTCGTTACGGCGAAAACCCGAACCGTTTACAACACTACTATCAATTCCAAGTAGTGCTTAAACCGAACCCTGACAATATCCAACAACTGTATCTAGACTCTTTAGAAGCAATTGGTATTGACACGCTTACACATGACATTCGTTTTGTAGAAGACAACTGGGAATCGCCAACATTGGGTGCTTGGGGCTTAGGTTGGGAAGTGTGGTTAAACGGTATGGAAGTGACTCAGTTTACTTACTTCCAACAAGTTGGTGGGGTTGAATGCTACCCAGTCACAGGTGAAATCACTTACGGTCTTGAACGTCTGGCAATGTACTTGCAAGGTGTCGATTCAGTTTATGACTTGGTTTGGACCAAAGGTCAATTTGGTACAGTCACCTACGGTGATGTGTTCCATCAAAATGAAGTAGAGCAATCAACTTATAACTTTGAATATGCCAACGTTGAAAAAATGTTTGAACTCTTCGATTTTTATGAAGCTGAAGCAACCCGTTTAATGGAAGTGGAACTTCCACTTCCAGCATATGAGCAAGTCATCAAAGCATCACACAGCTTTAACTTACTCGATGCACGTGGTGCTATTTCTGTCACTGAGCGTCAACGTTATATTTTACGTGTGCGTACTTTGGCACGCTCTATTGCACAAAGCTATGTGGCTGCTCGTGCCAAACTCGGTTTCCCAATGGCTGAACCGCATTTACGTGACGAAGTGCTTGCACAGTTAAAGGCACAAGTTGAAGCAGAAGCAAAAGCTGAGGAGAATAAATAATGTCTAAACATACAGTTTTATTCGAACTTGGCTGTGAAGAATTACCGCCTAAAAGCTTAAAGACCTTACGTGATGCATTACAAGCTGAAACGGTTAAAGGTTTAAAAGACGCAGGTTTGGCATTTGATTCAATTGAAGCTTATGCAGCACCACGTCGTTTGGCATTAAAAATTGTCAATGTTGATGGTGCACAAGCAGACACTCAAAAGCGTTTTGATGGTCCTGCCCTACAAGCTGCTTATGATGCAGAAGGCAAACCAACCAAAGCCTTAGAAGGCTTTATGCGTGGTCAAGGCATTACTGCGGATCAAGTATCAACTTTCCAAGCAGGTAAAGTTGAAAAAGTTTGTTATTTAAAAGATGTGAAAGGTCAAAGTCTTGACGCTTTACTTCCACAAATTTTACAAACAGCATTGGATAATTTACCCATCGCAAAACGTATGCGCTCTGCGGCAAGCCGTACTGAATTTGTTCGTCCAGTGAAATGGGTCGTCTTGTTAAAAGACAATGATGTGATTGATGCAACGATTCAGGATCATAAAGCGGGTAATCTGACCTATGGTCACCGTTTCCATGCCCCTGAAGCGATTTCACTCACAAATTCAGATGATTATTTGCCGAAATTAAAAGCAGCACATGTCGTAGCTTCTTTTGAAGAGCGTCAAGCAATTATTGACCAACAAGTTAAAGCTTTGGCTGATGAAGTCAATGCGATTGCCATCGTTCCTGCTGACCTACGTGATGAAGTGACTGCATTGGTTGAATGGCCTGTTGCGCTACGTGCAAGCTTTGAAGAACGGTTCCTTGCTGTACCTCAAGAAGCTTTGATTACCACGATGCAAGACAACCAGAAGTATTTCTGTTTGGTCAATGCAGCACATAAATTACAGCCTTATTTCATTACTGTTTCCAATATTGAGTCTAAAGATCCGACTCAAATCATTGAGGGTAATGAAAAAGTTGTACGTCCTCGTTTATCTGATGCAGAGTTTTTCTTCTTACAAGACCAAAAGCAGCCGCTTGCTTCTCGTAAAGAGAAATTAGCCAATATGGTCTTCCAAGCACAATTGGGCACACTTTGGAACAAGTCTGAACGTATTGCAAAATTGGCTGTGGCGTTATCTGCAATCACAGGTGCAAATCCTACTGATGCTGAAAAAGCTGCACTGCTTGCAAAATGTGACTTAACGTCAGAGTTAGTCGGTGAATTCCCTGAACTTCAAGGGATCGCAGGAACTTATTACGCACGTATTGAAGGCGAAAACGACGAAGTTGCTGAAGCTTTAGGTGAGCAATATTTACCTAAGTTTGCTGGCGATGTGCTACCAAAAACGAAAACAGGTACAACCATTGCCCTTGCTGATCGTTTAGATACCCTCACAGGTATTTTCGGGATTGGCCAAGCACCAACAGGTTCGAAAGATCCATTTGCTTTACGTCGTTCTGCGATTGGTATCTTGCGTTTGGTGACTGAAAATAATCTTGATGTTTCGATTGAAGAACTGATCAAGCTTGCTTTGGCTGCTTATGGCGATGTATTGAAAGATCATGCGAAGACTTTAGCCGATGCTGTCGCATTCCTTGAAGGTCGTTACCGTGCTAAGTACGAAGACCAAGGTGTTGCGGTTGATGTGATTCAGGCTGTTCAAGCACTTTCTCCAAAATCACCTCTTGATTTTGATAAGCGTGTGACGGCGGTAAATCATTTCCGTGACTTGCCAGAAGCTGCTGCTTTGGCTGCTGCCAATAAGCGTGTTGCCAATATCTTGGCAAAAGAAGCTGCACCTACAGGTGAGATTGTTGAAGCTAAATTGCTTGAAGATGCTGAAAAGGCGCTATATACCGAAATTCAAAATATCAAACCTGCAGTTCAACCACTTTTGGACGCGAAAGACTACACCACAGCGCTTTCTAAGTTGGCTGCGCTTCGTGCACCGATTGATGCATTCTTTGAGAATGTGATGGTCATGGCAGATGATGCAGAACTCAAAGCAAACCGTTTACGTTTACTTGCACAGTTACGTGACTTGTTTACAAGCGTTGCAGATATTTCGGTGTTACAGCACTAAGTATGACGATCTATAGTAATTCTCCAATTACTATCGCTATTCTCAAGCTCTTTCAAGAGCTTGAGAATTACATATCCAAAAATCATAAGAATCTACCTAATGGCGCTGTAAAAGCATTTATTTTTGGTGGTTGTGCATTTCATATTCATACCAATGCTCGTGGTAGCAATGATATAGATGCTGAAATTCAGGCAATCCAGCAATTAAAGAAACACGATATAGTTGTGTTTTTAGAAAATAATGACGTTGAATATTTAGATGATAATAATCTTGAAACTAATTTAGAGTTTGATCGTAGTTTTAACACCAGCCTTGCATCTGTCGACCCTGACTATCCTGAAAGAGCGATTCCTTTAGTTGCCAATAGCATTGTTGAAGTTTATTTAGTATCCGGTTTAGATTTAGCCATTTCAAAACTTGCTCGTTTATCTGATAGAGATATCGAAGACATCAAAAAATTATACCTTAATGGTAAGTTTTCTCTTGAAGCGTTTAAAAAATCAGCGAATAATGCTGAAATGTACTATGCGACTCCTGAACAATTACACTCGAATATTCAATATATCGTGTCAATCCTTTCGGAGTTAAGAGGTTAACTCATATGATGAATCAGGTAGAGTTTGAACATGCTTTGAATACGTTGTTAAAACAACCATTATCATCGGCAACATTTAGTGAAGTGAAACCAGTTGCTGAAGCTTTACTCTATTCAGAGCTTTTACCTTCTATAACAAATAATCTAAGTACACTTGAAACACGCCGTTTAGTTTTCTTACTTGAAAAATTTAGACGCTATTCGTGTTCTAGCGTGTCTCGTAGACAACAGTTAAAGTCTTTTTCAAATGATTTGTCTTTACAGACCACTCATCTTGACTCAAGCCACTTGGTTGATCCTCTAGCGCAAAGATTTGGTTTAGATGAAGATTTAAATCATTTAAAATCACAATTACTCACACTTCAAACACGCCATTATCATCAAGAGCATGGGTAAAAATCATTTGTTCTGTTGTCTTTTACATTAGGCGACGAATACGTTCTTTGAGAATCAGGGATTCAGAGTTGGGAGCAAACCGTTTACGTTTACTTGCACAGTTACGTGACTTGTTTACAAGTGTTGCGGATATTTCGGTGTTACAGCACTAAGTAGAAATATAAATTATAACCCGCTTTCGAGCGGGTTTATTTTTAGTCTCCGCTTTCCAAAATGCATGAATAAATGAAAACATAACAATAAAAATTAACAATCTAAAACTAAATATTCCCAATACATTGTATAGACTCAATTGATCAAGTTAAGTTTAAGATCAAAAGCATATGAATTCTAAAATATTATTATCTGTACCGTTAATAGTGATCGCCCTCTCTGCCTGCTCAACCACACCCACCAATCCAAATGCTCCAACTGTTTTAGAACAACATAAAAATATCTCTGCTGAACCAAGCACAAAACATAACCTTGCCAAACTCATCAAACAAACAGACAACTGTGTCATCGAATTTACTGGCAACTTTGAAACAGGAAAAGCCACAGAACATTGGATTTTTAAAGGTGATCAGCTCATCTCAGCATTTTCAAATGTAGATGCTGAAGTCGAAAATAAACAAACTGTTTTTGACCCAAAAGATGCTGAAAAGCTAAAAAACTTCAACTCACTTAAAAATAACTTTAAAACATCAAATCTGGAAAAATGTAATTAATCTCGGCACTTCACTTTGATACGTCGTCGAAGCTAAAAGAGCTAAATACAAAATTATTTCGCTCTTTTAGCCACATAAATCACGGGATAAATCCAAACAAGGACGCCAATGAATCCAATCGCAGCAAATATGAAACTATTTGGGAGGTAATCAGCAAACCAATAATAAATTGGATTTAAACCCAATTTAAACGAATTCATCATTGCGTAGAGCATCGCAATCATCAGCACATGAGACAAAATCAAATGCTCAATAGATAGCTGATATTTCCTAAAATATTTTGCAAAATAAAGGCTTGGAATCAAATAAATTAAAAAAAACACGCCCATCACAATCCAACTCATTATTTGATGGCTGGAAGACAATTCATCACCACAGCCGCAGGCAAAACTGGGTTTTAAACTCAATATAAAGGTGAGAAATATCAAGATTATTATATTTTTCATTATGATGATTAAACCAACAATTTAACCCAAAGCTTATGTCGTTTTTGTTTTAATAACAAGCTAGAAATTCTTACAGAAAATGCTTTTATCATCGTTCTCATATTCTTATAAGCATCAGAATTTAAAAAATAAAAATGCCCAAGTCTTCCAAACACGTCTAGTCGTAACATTCATTCACAATTCTTACACTATTGTTAAAACTCTGTAGATAAGCTGTTGCTGTTTTATCTCTAAGGCTATTTTTATACATATTTCACATTATTATAGGCAACACTCAAACTTGAACTCATTCAGGTACAGGATAAAACTAATTATGAAAATGCTTAAAACAACAGTGATCGCCACAGCACTTCTTGCCAGCTCTCCTCTTTTTGCCAATACAGATGTAAGTGCAAATGCTTCTGCTGAAGTCGGAACCAATGGAGGCATTCTAAGCAACATTGGTCAAGGTATCCATAACACAGCAGATAAAGTAGGTAATGGTCTCGAAAAAGGTGTTGATAAAACCCGTGAAGTGTCTAAAGACGCTTGGGATGGCACTAAGAATACTGCTGCTAAAGTAGGTACAGGTGTCGAAAAAGGTGTCGATAAAACCCGTGATGTGTCTAAAGATGCGTGGGATGGCACTAAAAATGTAGCTGATAAAGTCGGGACAGGTGTTGAAAAAGGTGTCGATAAAACCCGTGATGTATCTAAAGATGCATGGGACGGCACTAAACATGCTGCTGATAAAGTCGGGACTGGTGTGGAAACAGGCATAGACAAAGGTAAAGTCGCAACGAAAGGTGCGTGGGAAAATACCAAGAAACTAAGTTCTGAAGCGGGTCACAACACCAAAGAAGCAGCTGTTAAAGTAAAAGACAAAACCAAATCAGCGACAAGTAAAACTTGGCAGAAAACCAAGGATTTAGTTAAACCTAAACCAGCAAATACAGGTGCAAAAGTAAATTCACAAACCCATGTGAAAACACCAGTAGGTAGCGCTAAAGTCGCCGTATCTACAGACGCTAAAGTTGCTACAAAATAATTTAGATTTAATGCCCATTTAAAAAAGCTCACTTAGGTGAGCTTTTCTTATACATCTACTAGTAATTTGGTATGCAATGTATACATATGTTTTCTTGCTGTAGGATTTTTCTTTCCATTTTACTTTTTATCTAAATAAAACAGTATGATAATCCCAATTAGCACTGAGCGAATCGCTACAATCATCATAAAGGGATCAAAACATCATGAAGATGATCAAAAGTCTATGTGTGATCACTGCAATACTTGCAACACCATCACTCTATGCGCAAACCAATACTCAAAATCAGCCATATGGTGATAATCCAAATATTTTTAAAGTGTTGGCACATAAGACCGGTGAAGCTGTACAGAATACCGCTGAAAAAGTAGGTGATGCGACCGAAAAAGGGATTCAAAAAATTAAACCGTCTTTGGATGAAACCATTGAAAATACCAAAAAATATACCACTGAAAAAACCACTGAGGCTCGTGATAGTACTCGCCAAGGCATAGATACTGCGGTAAAAAAAGTTGAGCAAACCAAAGATCGAGTGATGGGTAAAACCAATTTAAATGTTCCGATTGAACAAGGCAGCTTAAGCCAATCTTCGACCACACCCAATACGACGAATACTGTAACTGCTACAACTACAGCAAACGTTCAAAATACGCCGATCACCACACAACCTGTTCAACCCGCAGTTCAAAATCAATTACCCAACAATGGGCAAGAAGAACCTGAAATTAAAAAACAGTCATTACCAATCGAAAACCAAGAGCGTGATGTCAACACCAATAACACAGGTTCAAAAGATACCAACTCAAGCAATACGCAAAGTTCAACAGATGATGAGGTTGGTGTACCAAGATAAGCAGCTAAACACACTTAATCCGTCGATCTCCACACCTTGCGCTACCTATGCTCAAGGTGATAGCAGTAAAACGAATATAGCTATTTAATGGTGTTTTTTTAACGATGCCTTTTTAATTGCGCCTTTTTCCATTGTGCTTTTTCACTCGGCTCTTTAGCCATTCACCTGACGAATCACTTTCCCCTGCTTAAATGCCTCAACATTTTCAAGCATTTGATTCACAATACCTTGACGTGCATCAACACTGCCCCACGCACTATGCGGTGTGATAATCAAGTTTGGAATATCATCTGCAAGTAAAACATTACCTTGTGTCGGCGGTTCAACAGAAAGTACATCTGTTGCCGCACCTGCAATTTTGCCTTGTCTTAATGCGTCTGCTAAAGCCTGTTCATTAACGATACCACCACGCGCACAATTGATTAAGAAAGCAGAATTTTTCATTTTATCAAATGCTTGGCTATCAATTAAATCACGTGTTTCATCTGTTAGAGGACAATGCAGAGAAAGAAAATCGACTTGCGCAAGCAATTCGGTAAAAGGTGTCCGATCCTTATGCGTTGGTCGATTGGGTAATGATGCGACCAAAATTTTCATCCCAAAAGCTTCTGCCAATTTGGCAACCGCTTGACCAAGCTCACCATAGCCAATAATACCAAGAGTTTTTCCAGATAATTCAACAATTGGAAAATCCAGTAAGCTGAAAATTGGCGATTTGTTCCATTCCCCTTGTTTAACTGCATGCTCATATTTGAGTAAAGATGTTGCTAATGCCAACATTAACGTCAGTGTATGCTGTGCAACTGCAGATGTGCCATAGCCCTGACAATTACACACCACAATACCTTTTGATCGTGCAAAATCTAAATCAATATTGTTGGTCCCCGTGGCCGAAATCAAAATTAATTTTAAATTTTTACATTGCTCCATCGCTTCAGCATTCACAATCACTTTGTTGCTGATCACCACGTCTACATATTGAATGCGTGCTAGAACTTGCTCTGCTGTGGTCGATGGATAAAGTATTAAGTCATCAAAAGCTGCTTTTAGCTGACTAAAATCCAAATCCTGTTTATCTAAAGATTCATAATCTAAAAATACAGCTTTCATTGCTTTTCCTTAATGATAGAGAGCCAGTTTTACGCTTACGAAGCAGATGCTTCTGAAAAACCAAAAGAATTATTCTTTAAAGCCAATAAGTATGCATTGGTCATACGGTACGCCTCTTGAATGATGGCTTCAGAAATATAGCTTTCGTTGTAATAACCATGCTTCATACAAGTAAAAACCAATTCCATCAAAATCGTCAATGTATCAGGCTCCTGTGGTACATACTCATCCACTTTAATCATTTCCAATGCTTTTCGGACACCATGACTGACTTTTTTTAATTCTATTTGGTATTCCAGATAAGCTTGTCGGGTAAAAGGTCCACTTAAAATCAACAAGCTCGCCGTTTCAGATTCATTAAAATATTTGGCTGTGGTACGAATCATACTCTCTGAGAGTAACTGTCCGTATACTTCTATGGGTGCATTTGGGTTTTCCGTCAACACTCGAACAGCAGCTTGTCCGAGTTGTTTGACTAAATCGTTTAAATGCGTCAGTGCAATATGACGAAAAATATCGTATTTCGTCGGAAAGAACTGATAAATACTGGTCCGTGGAACGCCAGATGCATTGGCAATTTCAGGAATCGAAATCTTTTCAATTCCAATGGATAACAGTAACTCTTGCGTGGTTGCCAGCATCTTATCCATTCTTTTTTGGGAACGTTCTTGTTTTGGTTGGCTCACCTTTTTCGTCATTTTTTTTAAAACTGACGTTGACGTTATTTTAATCATCAGATAATCTCTCATAAAACCCAACAAATGTTGGTTTTAAAAACTTCCTTGTAGTACTACAAAAATATAGAGGAAACCGGAGATGAATTTACCCCTTTCCGATGTACAAATGTCCATACAAAGCAAAACTAAACTTTTTGCTGATCCAGAAGATGAACAACGTAGCCACCGAATTCGTAAAACAATTTTGGAAGCTGGAAATCAATTACGCGAACGTCATCCTTGGCTGGTTCAGCACCAAGACCAAATTGGCCTAGCCATCCTTGTAACAGCTGTAACAGGGATTATTTTCAATATAACACAATACACTCGTGGGAAAATGCCTTGGTATGTGGCAATTCCGCTTTCTGCATTTTGGATGTCGCTCTTACATGAACTAGAGCATGATCTTATTCACCAAATGTATTACCGTAAAAACAAAAAAATCAATGATGCCATGTTGGCAGCCGTTTACGCCTTTCGCCCAAGTACCGTGAACCCATGGATACGTCGCGAGGTACATCTACATCATCACAAATCATCGGGTACCAAAACAGATTTAGAAGAACGCGGTATTAACAATGGTGACCAATGGGGCTTAAAACGTTTGCTGATGACTGGTGACAATATGTTGGCGATCTATTTACGCCCCATCACCATGATGAAAACCACCAAGCGTTTTATTCATGCTCAAAAGCATTTATCCCAAGCAGATAAACTCAAATTAAAAGCAAAACTTTCTGCGAGTTATGCACCCTTTGGACATATTCATTATGCCTTATGGCATGGTTTCTTATTGATCAATGCTGCCAAATTGGCAATGAAAGCCACAGGCATAGCACAACCTAAAAATAGCTTATGGAGACTTGCAGACAAAACCACAAAGTTTTATGCCGTAAGCATTGCAGCACCAAATTTTTTACGCACTTTAAGCCTGCATTTTACCAGTTCCAATATGCATTATTATGGCGATGTTGAAGATGGCAATATCGTTCAGCAGTGTCAGGTCTGGACAGATTGGCGAATGAAACCTTTACAAGCCTTTTGTTTTAACTTTGCTGGTACACATGCCATTCACCATTTTGTTGTACGTGATCCATTTTATATTCGTCAAGCCATTGCCCAAGACTGCTATCCAGTGATGCAAGAAAATGGGGTTCGTTTTAATGACTTTGGGACGTTTAAACGAGCGAATCGTAGATTCTAAAATTTATAATTTTTTATTTATAACTTTTGAGTTAATGGAGGCCTCTGGTATGGGGTCTTGTTTTATATTTTAAAACACCTGATTACGCCTTATAGTGAGTTAAACAATCAGCTAAAAAGACCGCACAATGAATAGGACAGCTTATCCGTCACTTATGCTCGCTCTGCTTTGTTTTGGCTTATATTCACCAGCCTATGCAAAAGCATATATTTTACAATCGATTAATAACTTGGATGAAGCAGAGTTTAGAAGTTCTGAGGGAAATGAATTCAAACTGATTAAATTAAATCGAGGTTGTCGTATTCAAGCTCGATATTATTTGGAGATGGAAAATCGTGTGTTTAATTATACCTTCCTTCATCAACCACCCATGAAGCAAAAACTACTCCATGCCACGCAAAAAACCTTCCGTTATCACTATAGAGACGGTGAAGAAGGTTCTCTGGCAGCAGTGACTGATGTTTATCAACATTCTAGCGAAGTCTATAAAGTCAGTGATTTAGACGTTCAAAATGAATTTAAAAAATATACAGCTTTATTTCCAATCGCCTATTTAAAGCAGTGTAACTAAAGCTGTATCTGTCTATTTAAATGGCTCAAATGTCAAATCGTTAGACAGCAAATGGTGTTTCAGCTCAACCGCTGACTTTAAGCAACCTTAAAGTGACAAAACTCATTTAAGCTTTCATCATCAAAACTCACCAAACCTTGAATATCACAACTCATATAAAAGTTTTTATAGGTCAATACATAAAAGTCAGTGGTTTTTTTAATCACAATTGGATTCATATCCAAAGATAACGCTTCATCTTGCTTAAATAATTTGGTTACACGGCGATCATTCATACAGATCAAATAGGTCTGCTTTTTGATCTCGACTTGTGCCAAACCATTGTTTTCAACATGCAATGGAATAATGTATTTGCCATTCACATCAATTACTTGTTGATCATAGCTTTCTAGCTTTTGTGTGATCACGTTAAATACTAAAATATTGCCAAAACTGTCTTGTAGCTGCGTTTTATCTTCAAAAGCAAAATTGACTTGAATACCCAGTTTCTGCAAATCTTGCTCATCCACTCGCTTATTGGTCAATAAAATACGCGTAATGGTCTGCTTTAAACTGGCATCAAAGAAAGTACTATCCAGTTGAATATCTGTACCTTTTAGAATTTTACCCAAAGCTTCGTTATGTGTCCCCAATAAGTGAGCAATCACACTTCGATAATAAAATTTGCTGTTTTTCTTTACTTCACGAATCTGCTTATAAAAATAAGTTTGATCGTATTCACGTTCAATAAAATCATGTAGTAACGCAGAGTTAGCTAAAACTGCAATCGCATCATGACCAGTATACGGTAAATGTAACGTATGCAATTGAGGGATCAATGGCTTAATTTTTAAATAATGTTCTTTATCATTTTCAAAATAAGGGTCATAAACAATGATGTATTCACAGTCTGCAACGATATCTTGTGCCTGAATACGCATATCCGCATTTAATTCAGCATCATAGAAATCTGTATAACGCTTGTCCTCAACCTCTAAAGGGTCGATAGAATATTGCGGAACCATGGCAACAACACGATTCATTTTTAAAGCTTTGGCATATTTGATTGCCGCATAGCCACCCATCGAACCGCCATAACCCACGATATTTTTAAATTGTTTTAAAATGGGATCTAAGTGCTCTAACAATGCAGCCATGCTTGAGGCAGGAAACCAAGACTTCTGTTTTGGCATAATCCCGACCACGGCATAGTTATATTTCATCAAAGACTTTTCAGCATTGATGGAAAGTCCTTTGGCTCTAGAAATCAAGTCACCAAATGACAGGACTAAAGTGTCAGAATCGCCTTGTAAATAGATTGCTCTAATATGATCATCTTCAAAAATTATTTGCTTATCCATTCGCACACCGAGCACTAGCTCTATCATTGGCTGAAATTAAATAAATAGGCGCTTGCCTATTGATTGCTTCAAGTGTCATATTTTATAGAGTCTAGTCAGATAAAAAAGCGCAAAATATGACACATTCCCTACATCCTGCTGCTCAAAAAGGCTTCAGTACTGCTGCTGAACTTTATCAACAAGTCAGACCCAATTATCCACAAGACGTGGTCAAATGGTTAAAAGAAGATTTAGCTCTAGGCTCAGATTCAAGCGTTGTTGACTTAGGTGCAGGTACTGGAAAATTTCTCCCTTACCTCAAACAAGCAACGCCCAATATTATTGCTGTCGAGCCCGTCACAGAAATGTTGGAACAATTGAAAATAGTACATCCTGATGTACAAACGCTTCAAGCAAAGAGTGATCAAATTCCGTTAGAATCTGAAAGTATTGATGCTGTTTTGTGCGCGCAGTCATTTCACTGGTTTGCCAATATTGAAACCTTGAATGAAATTCACCACATT